TTCGTAAACGTTTTGTGATTTGGAAAAGCCTCTTTAATTTGTTCAATAAAAATCGGTCAATTTGTTTTCACTGCGAATGATCTAACACTAAGTTTTTTTTATATTTGACTAAAAGTGTTTTCTGACTACGGCTTGAAGACTTTGACTGTCTTTCTAGTTGCTGCTCGCCGGCTGGGCACTCATATTTGTTCTACCAGGTCCGTCTTCTTTGAAGTATTTTTCAAATTATTTCGAATTTTGCATAGCATCGTTAATTCTTGGATGACTTTCGTATTTTCCATTTCTTGAAGATGTGTCTCGACGGCAAACACTTCATTAGCATCTAAAAACTAAAGCTGTTATTCAAGTCGGCTCCAAGTTCAATGTTTGAATAAGTAGATTAGATTGTCCCTTGTGACCGTAAGTTTCATTTTATTTTCAAAAATATTTCGTTTCGTTTTATTTTGTTTGTCGGTCTCTATCTTTTTAAATGTAAACATTGAAAAGCAACTCCTGAAATCAAGTCGTCATGTGATTCAAAATTCAAAATCTACAAAAAAGAAAACTACTTTACCGTTGAACAGAAGTTCAATATACCGGGGCCTAGGAAATTAGACGATAAGCAAATTAGACGGATGCTACAAAAGCGAACTTTGACGACATTTTTTTTTTACAGATCTGGCATTTTAGTTGAAAAAGCTGTAAAAAGGAAAGGGTCAACAAAATTTTTTCTTACGAGTCAAGTTACACAAATACAAAAAGAACATAAAATGTCAATACCTATCAAAACAGTTAGTTTAAATGAACATAAAATGTCAAATCCGAATTTTACAGGAGAGTTTTGAATTGAATTAATTATGCATGATTGACTTATTAAATTTTTGGCCGCCAAAATTTAACTTTTGTCTGCAAACAATTTTATTTTTCTGACGCAATTTGTCTGCAAACAATTTTAATCACTCTCACTTTTGTCTATTTTCTCACAATTGCAGTTTTGCAACATCGTCTAATTTCCTTCTAAATACCTCCGTCTACTTTGCTTATCGTCTAATTTCTCAACCCCCATATTGTAGTTGTAAAAATGATTTAGACCGTTTCATGAAGCGCTGCTGAAGTGTTTTGAAATCTATTTTTAGCTTTGCTGCTGTCTGCTATATTAGCATGTCTGTTTGTTCATCGAGTATTCATGGCTCACAATGAAGAACAGTGATATTCTTCTGTCACAATGTCTACATCAAGATTCAGAGCAAAAATTTCGTCAAAATCCAGATCGAAGAGTGCTAAAGCACACAGTTGTTTCACTTACACTTCTTACGATGGGCCTTAGATTGACAAGTAATTGAAGTTGTTGCTTTTTTAGATACGGTTGCTTCTTCCAGAACCCATGTTTTGTTTTTGATTGTCCGTTGTGCTGATCGGAACACCCAGGTTTTCTCCAAAAGTTTCTAAGTTTTCCTTTTATTCATTGAAAGATGTTAAGTTAGATAGGCAAAAAAATTATCTTATCGGTTTTTGGGTTGCTCATGATTAGCAATGTCCATTAGGGTTCATCTATGGCTCACTTGAGGGTTCGAAACATCTTAGCATTAATATTTGTCAGTGGTTACTGCCTGAAGTTCTCATGTTAGGGTGATTGCAATTTTAGACAGTTCTCTGACTGCTTTTTCAGAAGGCCCATGTAAAATCAAAACCTTCATCTGCAATAGGTTTCACCTGTAAGAACCCTTTTGCGTCAAAAAATGTTGAGCACTGTAATTTTTGATCCTAGCAATTTTCGTGTTTTCAACGTTAGCTCTTCTGAAAAAAAACGAGGAACAGTTCCCTTTTTTGATGCCCTTCAGTAAAATAAACAATCAAATTGAGTTTGACATAATTCGCAATTTTGCAAGAATACAGTAACCGTTGAATTTGACCAGTTTATTTGTTCATACTCGTCATTCAAGTTTTTGTTGCCTAGATTTTGTCGTTTAGTGGCTGTTCATGTGTGATCAGTACTAGCGCTTGATATCTCGTCTGATGTTTTCCAGATTTTAATCTCTTGTTGCTCCGTTTTTGCTACTTCTGCTTTTTAAATAGTGCCGCGATTTTGAATAGTGACTTCGTTTGGTTGTAGTATGCGGTAACTAATCGTTGATGAGATGCTCGAGAGCGTTTGAGTTTCTCCCAATTGTCCGCCAGGTCAATATGCTGTCAAAAATTTGTTTGTGTTCTTGTTGACGGTGAGCTTCAATGAGGATTGCTAAATGTTTTGATTATCTGAACATCTTTAAAATTTGAACGTTGATTTGACGGTTGAAATTCGTAAATGTAATTTTTGGCTTTGTAAACATTAAAGTCATCGGTCATTTTTTAAATGAGACAGTTGGTTAGTTGGTTGTTGCAACCGACAGTTTTTAATCAGAGAAGTGTTTTAAGGTGGCATGCTTCAAGTAGAAGGAAATGGTAAAACAAAAAGTCCAAACGAGGACAAAAAAAAACAAGCTCAAAACTATGTCAGAAAAAATTCAAAAATGAAGAAACGTGAAACGTAAAATTTTTGTCAGAGCTTCAGAATTTTTTTTAACACCGTTCTGTAACGACGTTTAATAAGGCAGTTTCTTGGGTCTACTAGTCTTTAAATCACCTTCTCAGAAATTTCAGCAAAATAATTATAGGGTCTTTATTTTGTTAGGATATCTTAATTTTTTTTGTCACTCTGATCCTTTATCACTATAAACTGGAAGACTAGTTTAACGTTGTCATTATGACAACTTTAATCCTCATCTTAAATCTCCAACCAATTTGAGATAGATTCATTTGTCGTCATCATTAAAACTTGAAAAAGTCAAACTCTTCGAAATTGAATTTTCTGAAATATTGGCTTAGTTTAACAAGCCTTGTTAAAGACAAAAATGCACGGTTACAAACTGCCCGGCTACAATGCGTTCTACATGAAGCACCACAAAATGTACCAAATTTTGAAATAATAGTTCCAACTTTCGACAAACTTTTTCTTCAGACAAACTTAGACTTGTTAGTTATCCATTTTTGGACGGATATTTTTTATATTATTCAAAAGTTATTGTTGTCGTGAGCTTAAAATTGAAATGTATTTCACCTGTGATTATTGGTCGTGAAGATATGGGGGTTTAAAGTTTGCCATTTTGGCCAATTTGGGAAAATTAACGCGCAAGTATTTTGCCCCCTATTAAAGCGCAAGCCAAGATTTATTCCGTCTGAGAAATTGTTCCAAATTGGTTGAAGAAAGCTTATTTGCCATAATTGTTGTTCCGAATTTTGGGAAAAAAACAAAATATTTATGCTCGGTGTAGTTTTTTTATTCAATCAATTTTCGCCGACCAAAAGAATTTTTTAAAAAAAATTTTTTATACTCGATTGAAAATATCGAGTTCAATTTTTAAAAGATATTTTACCCTCATTATTTTATGAAAAGTACTGACGGTTTGAAAAATGCCACATTGGACATGCTCTGGACTAAATTATGCGTAATTTGTACAGTTTACTCATAATGCTGAGAGCGTAACGCAAATTGTTTGTGCATGGCGAGTATCCCACACAACAAAATCGTTCCAAATTGAATAAAAGCTAGCTAATAGATCGTAATAATTATTTTATTTTGTACGATTCAAAATTACACCCTATATTTTTGTCCGAAACTTATAGGTTTTCGACATTTTTTTCCCCGAAAAGTCTTTGAAATTAGTTAAGGGACAGTAGCAACATTCAGGGTTTTTCATCACTATGTTCATTTATCACTTTGTTTTTTTATATGGCGTGTTGGGGATAATTTTTAAAAAAATATCAAATTGAAAAAAAAATCATTTTTTTTATTACATTTAATTTTTCATGTTATTACTACTCCATAGACCTTAAATGGCAGTTGGAACATTCAGGGCTTCGCCCTGATACGAGCAGTGTTGTTTTATTGTTCTGACTTTGGAAGAAAACGGAATATTGTTGCTCGGTGTGATTTTTTTTATTCAGTCAATTTTCACCGATCGAAATAACAGTTTTCAACAAAAAATTTTTATACCCCATTGAAGATATTGTCTTCTTAAGTTCAAAGACACAAATTTTAAAAAATATTTTGCCTCCAATTTTCTAATTTTTTTGTAAAGTTCTGGGGGTTTGAAAATTGCCGAATTGCCCATGTTTCGGACTAAATTATGCACGCTATGAAGATTTTATTCATATTGCTGAGAGCGTAATGCGAATTATTTAATTATTTATGCGGTTGACTTATCCCGCACAACCAAATCGTTCCAAATTGAATTGAGGCTAGCTTATCGGATCGGTTTTTATTAATTTCATACGACTCAACATTTCACACTTTGATGTTGTCCAAACTTTATAGATTTTCAATACTTTCTTTTCCCAAAAACTATTCGATATGAATTAAGAGACAGTCGGAACATTCAGGGCTTTGCCCTGATATACGAGCAGTCTTGTTTAGGCTGTCTATATGTTTAAACTTTGTTTTCTTCTGCATCAATTTTTTAGAAGTTAATTCTATTTGAGCTATCTGAGTAAAGTAAACAGTCGAAAAACAAAGTTTCGGCTATTTAACGTTATTCGAGTTTGTGATTTTTCAGGATAATGACTTCCACCGACCGTGAATAACCTCTCCCCTTCCCCCCTCCGGTCACAAGAAAAACGGAGTTGCGATTTCCAGCAACTCAACTATGAGGACAGATTCATGGGTTATAAAAATGTGAGAAAAGAAATGCTGTGATTTTACGAGACTGGTGTTGAGAGAAAACTGTTCCAGTTTTTTGAAAGCTTAATATTTTTGGAAGTTTTGGACAACGAAACTTTGCTTTCATAGTACGCGCTACCTTTTATGTACAATTTATTGAAGTTGCTAGGTCAAACTCAAAATAGGAGGTGATGTTAATCATTCCTGATTTTTTTGCATTTAGCATTTAAAAAATTATATGGCTAAATAAAAGGTTTTTCTTTGAAAAAATTCAAATAGTTCAATTTTTGTTAAGTTAACTAACCTCAAATTATACAAACATTTACAAAAATGAAATTGTTGAGTTAAAATTTGATAAAATTATCTAGAAAATTTTGACCCTAAACCATATGATCGATACTCGCGGCTTTCTTATGATTGCTCTGGTTTTGACTTTGACTACCCTCGTTTGATTGACATGAAGACAGGTGAAAACTCGTGAATGTTTGACTTCCTGACATCCCTGCTGGTATATGGACGTCGGTTCGATCCCGACTCGGGGCGTGATGATTTGTCGGATGAGGTACTCGCACAAACTCGTAGTCGTTCAAACTCAAAGCTTTCATTCTTATTTTATTCTGATGTCCGCTGTTATGGTAGTTTTTCTCAAACCCAAATTTTTCGACAATTTCGATATTTGCCTCACTGGGTTGGTAAGCATCGTAAAAAAGACGAAGACTCTCGGCTGTCGGAAAAGGCATCAAGGCTTCTTGTTTCTCGCAACAGCAAGCGCACGAGGGAAAAGGCAGAGGCGTGATCGAATTTTCGACCAAGGGGCTGAACAAAGCGGCTGACATGCATAAAACTATTGTGAGTAGAGAAAGGTAAAATGACCAGCTGATACTGCACTTGCCCGACAAGAGAAGAAAGGAGTCGCGCCCACAGAAAGTGTCACTTTGCACGGAGGGGTGGGAAGATCCGAGGGCGAAGCTGACAAAACCACCAACTAAGAAGATTCCTGCAACACAAAAAGTTACATTTTCATACCACCAACCTTGGAATATATAAATCGATATGGACTCCATAGATAATGTCATGGCTTCCATAGATCATGTCATTGAAATCCAAACAAGGTTTCATTTGTCGAAAAATCATTTGTGGTGAATATAAATTTGATAAAGCGTAATAACCGAAGTTCACTGTCCAACTCGAAAAAAAATATCCATTTTCAGATTCAGAAGTGGATTGTGGGGTTTTGTTGGTGTTCTATTAAGTGGATTTCATTTTTTCTACATTACTAATAAGGGAACGTTTAATGCACCCGAAAATTCTTGCACAAATCAAACTAATTTAATCAAATGTACACTTTGATTAAATTATGGGACTGAAATATCAGAATTACGTTCACTAATGCTCTCTGCTATATTTTGTGACTATTATAAATACTATAACAGCATAAGAAATAACACACAAGAAATCTGGTTCTGAGAAAGTATTTTTTTTTGCTTTTTTTTTAAACTTGAAGTACCGATGTGGAATGTTTTGCCAGAAATGTGTTTTTTTTTGCTCAAGCTCTCCTCGTTCAGGTTTGATTACGAAAAAAAAATAGATCTATAGTTCTATAGTAAAGCTATTTTGGCAAGAGTGCTCGACTGCTTGGCAAATAACGCAGGAGGTTCCGCGTAGAGCACTTTCTTCTTGTCAAAAAAGTGTAAATGTTAGATTTGGGTTCGTTTTTGACAATATATATTCCATGTGTGAGTATTACCTACGAATCCATAAATGATTCCTGTGATTGAGAACACCGACTTGTGTTCACACAGACAGTTCTGACAACACATGGAACACAGGGAAGATACTGCTCCGGACAGAGCCAGTAGACTGGCCATTAAGAACAGGGTCCCAGATAGGGTCCAGGCGGGTGGAAGTTTGTCCGGCTGCAGTCGTCCAAGTATGACGTCACACTCCTCCAACTCGACCACTATGAGGTCATAATTGGTACACACCCACCATGGCCCCACAGTATGTCTGTAAGGGGTCACGTGAACATCTATGGACCCATCTGCAATAAAATGAAAATATCATGAGTTTGGGCCACGATATCTAGTTGGTAGCGGCAATTTTTGAGTTTATTATATATCATTTCAGTCATTTTTTGTTTTTTTACAAAAATTTTTCTGATTTAATTTTTTCTAGGATGCGTTTTGTGAACTCTTTTTTTTCTGAATTTTTTTTACCGTGGTCAGAATATTTATGCAATTTAAAAGAATCATCTTGCACAGCAACCAACTACTTTTGTTTTTTGAAATTTTTTAGTTACACCATATGTTATATGCAAACAGGGGATGTTGCTTCCAATATACTAGTCGAATATGCTTGTTTCGGTTTAGTTCGTTCAAAAAGTTGCCCGCAAATTTCAAGAATTTGCCCACTCCCCTTAATCTACCCCTTTTTCTTTCTTTTTTTCCATCAATTCTTCCCTTTTAAAAAACTTCATCTAAACAATCTGAGTTAAAATTAGAGTAAAAAATTTATACAGAAGTCTCCAAAACTTTGAAAAAAGTTTAAGAAAACATCTGTTTTTGAAAAAAAAGTTACCAGAAAATTGAATAATGCTGTTTAGTTATGCAATTTTTGTTTAAACTCGCCGAACAAAGAGCGCTTGATTTTTTTGCTAATGATTTTTCAAAAATTCAGATAGTGTTGTCAACTTTTAGATCAGACAAATCTGTTTCCAGTACGTCAAAAACTAAACAAGTTTTGGGGAGTTTGAACAACTTTGACCAAAAAATGCGTTATCTGACGCTGTTTTTCTCACTATTTTGAACGTCTCAGTAATTATAATCAAATAAGTTTTTTAAATGAAAAGCAACTTGCAAATTTGCGTGTTTTAAGCAACTTCTAAATTTGTTTCTTTCCTTGAAATTATCTGGAATTATTTTTTCTGCCAATTTCGACTACCTCAAGAAAAACTCGCGGGGGATAAAGTGTGGTGGGTTATCATAATTAAAAAAGTGTCAAAAAATTCTCTACTTTTTGAGAAAAATTGGTCTGAATTATGTTGATTTTCAGAGTTATCTTGACAAAAATTGATGAGAATCTGACCCTCCAATTCAATTCGACAACACTTTCAAAAATATTTCAAAGTAGTATCATTTCTCATTCATTTGTTTATTTCACATAAATTTTCACCATGAAATAGAAAAAAGAGCAGAAAATTCAGAATAAAAAACGAAACCATTTTAATTTTTTTCTTTTTTTTTTTAAAGTTTTTGAGTTTTACTTCTTGCTTTTTTTTGAATTAGTGGTGGTCTGATGATTACTGTGTGCTACTTGCACAGCAACCGGCTATCTTTGTGTGTTTTGTCGCTGAATTCCAAAAAAATAAGACTAAGCTTGTATCTTTAAGATCTGCGTTATCCGCGAAATCCATAAAAGTGCTCGTCGAGCAAAAACCAAAATTAACCTTTTTTTGTCTAAAATTTTTTTTACGGATTCTAGACATTTTTGAAGTTTTGTGGATCTACAGAAAATGTCTATGGACGCCAAGATCAGCAAAAAATTTGGAAAACTTGGCCTAGTAAATCGGATGGATTTTGAAACTTGATTCAACGTGAGTTAATTGATTCTCTGAGACCTGCTCAAATTTCGGCGGGACCTGACATTGTGGGATCACCTTTTATGGATCATTGGTTTGTTTTCTAAAAGATGCGAACCCCTCCTCTTTTTGGAGTTCACGCACGTTTTTTGCGCGAACCCCTCATATTTAGTCTAAACTGGCGCCAGAGTCATCGTCAGAAAAAATTTAAACAATATTCGACCGATTTTGATATAGTAAAATAGTACCAAAGTGGCCCTTTAACTGATGAAATATTCAAATTTCGGAATTTGGGAGGGGATTAGTGTCCTAAATTTATCTGTGCTTGAGGCTAACCTGCCCGAAGTCCGAACTGTTTTGGGGAAGAAATCCACGACTTGCTGAACATAGTTGCAACGAGAAGAGTTGTCGTGCCGAGACACGACGAGAGCCAGATGAGACTTCCGAACGATACGAACAACTGACAACCTTGAGCTCCATCTTCGTCGTCTTCGTTGTCGTGACAGCCGAATCGATTCACTCGTCGTTGGAGAATTGGGTCGCCGAACTGATCTGGCAGCGGAGAGCTCGGCTCGTCAGACATCGAATAACAGGACACAACTTTTCAACTCGTCTGGTCGTTTTTTTAACGATTAAACCATTGTTAGCCACCTATATCAAATTGAATTTACATATGTCACATTAACATAAGCTTTATAACGACATAAATATCGGCAAGAAATCTACACGGAATTCAGTTGAAAAGAGCAAAAACTCATCGATTTTTTTTTCTTGAAATTCTAGCTTAACATGGAAATAACGGGGCGGGCTGATATTGTTACGACGATGCTGTTATTTGAAGTGTCTTTGATACAAAGAAGGGCGAAGAAACGAGATTATGAATAATCATTTGATCAAAAAGGATTACAAAAAAAGGAAGTTTCGATTTCGATTCTATTGAACAGTAGAATGGGTTACATAACTGATATACACAGAGAGGTTCAACAAGCAGGGAATGTAGCGGAACTCAATTGAAGGGAGCGAATTAATTTTCCCCTGGGTTTGAAATAACGACAACAATGGAATTTTTCCACCGGAATAAAATAATTGTAAAAATTGTTGCGATAAAATAGTATCTATATGGTAAATCAAATGCAGTCATTATTAATCATTAAACTGTTGCATTTTATTAACGTGGTAACTTTTTTTTTACTCGAGTGTGTATTCAATATAGTCGCAAAATACATTATCTATACATAAACGTTATTTTTTCAGAGATTAAAGAGCGTATTTTGCTTAAATTGTTTTATAAAGGTGTGTGCTAAGCTGAAATTGTGGAGTTTAGTGCGAGAAAATTGATCAATTTGCAGAGCGTTTTGATCTTTTTCTTATTTTACGTAAAACAGATTTAAGAAGTGCTTGAAGGTGCAGCTTTGATTTCGATGTAAAGGGTTGCATCGAATTCAGAAGAAACAATTTCGCGGTTGTTACCTAACAACTAACAACAACCAACCTGTGCGCCATTGTATATAGCTTTTAGATTAGATCTCATTTTTCTCTCTTTGATGTTGCGAAAAAGAAGAGCAGATTTCAAATTTCGCTCATTTGGGCATTTGATCAAAACCCGGTTTAGAAAACAGAATAAAACCTTTTACCCCCCCCCCCCCCCCCGAAATGTAGAATCAAAAATAAAATAAAAAAATAATTGAAAGAGTTTATAAATATAACTATGTTTAAATGGTATGTCATTACCCTTTTGAGGATAAGGCTTTTTCAAATGGGCGCAGTTTAGAATCGGAGATAAAAGTGACTTATTTTAGGGATTCAGGAGACGGTTCAAGCGCCCAGATTAAAATTTAAGGGTGATTTCACCAGCATGGTATCCGCTAGTTTATGACGCCCCGGTGATTTCAGAAAATAGCGTCGCCGCTCGGGCTAACAAAGTGAATAAAACAAAAGGCGTGAGGCTATTTCAAATCAATTTAGCCCGTAATTATAAAGCTCTTGGCGCAAATTGTAGTCAAAATTTCCTGTTTTGTCTAATCATCTTGAAACAAAAAATGCCAACAATTTAGAATGAAAAATTGTGAATGAAATTTTATCAAGGTTCTTCGGGAGGGTAAAAACGTGAAAAAAATACATAAAGGGTGTAGAAAATTGGGCGAAAAAAGGCTGGTAGTTTGACATGGAAAGAATAACTAATTTGATATTGCCATGAGAAAAAGAAGGGCTTTAGGGATTTAAATTGAATTTCAAGGGGGTTTTCTGCTGAAATGGGGCTCTTAAATCGAATTTAGTCTTCGACAAAACTTCAATAATAAATTTTTTTATAATCTTTACGGGTTGAAGGAAATGTTTACGCCCATCTTAGGTTCTATTGTAACCCGATTTCTGTATTTGATCGTAATATCTATTTTTTCATTCAAAATATCTTCCAGATAAAAAAGTCTGCTTCTTCCAATGAAGGGAGTCTGTGATTTCCGCTGCGTATAATCTTAATCTCTGAAAAATGCATCGTATTTTCGTAACCTCTGAAAAACCGGCCTGTAAATTATATTGCAAATTTAAACTAGTGACTAGATTTTTTTTTAGAAATAAGGTTTTCGGATTTTCATACCTTTAAATTGATCATTTGTTTATTCATCAAAATGGCACTCTACTTTTAGGGGCCGTTTTGGAATTGCGGACAAAATTGCGAGCGAAATGCTTCAAAGATTATAATACATTTCAAAGGTATTAATCATATTAGCTGCGAAACAAGTTGTCATAAATGTTTAAATAACCCCTATTTGGAACATATCAAACCTGGTTCAAAGAAAATTGGACACAATTTGCCAAAATTCAACACTGTTTTTGTGAATTAAATTTACGCAGCGTCATAAAATAGCTGTAAAGTCAGGAAAGCAATTTAGGCATTTTTCATAACCTAATTAAAAATCGTCTATGAAAATTTTGTCAAATATTTAATTGTGAGGTGTGCGGTATGCAAGAACATAAATTGAATTTCCCAAAACCTTTTTAAATATATCCATTGAATTTAGAGGCGTTAAACAAAGCCTACGTACAAAACAGCCGAAAACCGAACATTGTTTAACGGTACTGACAAAAATGTACCAAAATAAAATGTTTTGACGAATAGGAGCGAAAAAAAAAACAGTTTTAGTTTGGTGAAAAACTGGCACGCTGCGAAAATTACACGAACAAAAAGAGCCCAACGTAGTTAAATGTATCATCAGAGTTCTGAGACTCTTTGTTGCCTTCTGCAAAAAAAATTGGCGCCAATATTTTAAGAAGCCATGAATTGAATAAAAAATCAGCCGGAACATAGCTGCAACAGTTTTCATTATTTTAGAAAAGGAACTGTTTGTTGAGCACCAAAGAAACTATTTTTGTTTCGTGAAAAAATGGCACGCTGCAAAAAAGTACACGAACAAAAACAACCCAGCATAGTGAAATGTATCATCATAATTCGCAGACTCTTGGTTGACTTGTGCAAGACAATCGGCGCCAATAATTTAACATATCATGAAATGAAAAAAAAAATCAGCCAGAACAAAGATGCAAAGTTTTCTATTGTCTTAGCAATGGAGTGTTAGGTGCGCTATGAAAACATTATCAATAACGAGTTTGATGTTCTAAAAATACTTTTCAAGACCAAGAAAAATGTACCCGGTAAATTTTCAAAACGGTTAAATCAACGACCCAACAGATGAAAACTGTTCCAAATAAATAAAAGCACAAAAAAAAATCTTCAGTTTGAGTAAACGCGAGAAGGGTTTAGGGCAAAAACTAATCTTTGTACAGTGTTTTCCGATTTTCAAAAAAATTGCAGAATATTTATGCTTGGTGTAGTTCTTTAATTTTATTCAGTCATTTTTCGATTTAATTACCAAGTGTTTTTGACAGACATTTTGAATTTCATCTTATACCAAAATATTGATGTTTACGCTCAAATTTCAAAAAAAAAAGTATTTCACCTATGATTATTTTTCGTAAAATTATAGGCGTTTGAAAGTAGCTAATTTGACCAATTTTGGATAACTAAAGTGCGATGTTTTGCGTACTGACAACACGCGCAAGAAGCAAATAATGCGTTCCAAATTGAACTGAGGCCAGAAATTTAATCCTGTTGTCAGAATACGATACGCTAAACACATCCTTAGTATTTTACTCAGTGTGTTAGGGGATCAAACGAAGAAAAAAAAATAAATTTTTAACTGGCCTCATCTATAGTCGGAACACTCAAGGCTTCGCCCTGATATGCGAGCGGTCTTGTTGACTGATATGTCACTTTTAAAAAACTTCACCAGAGAATTGAGCTGAAATAAGATACTGTTGCCAACTTTTTCATGTTTGTTTCTTTCTAACATTCACTCTTCATTGCTGCTTTCCTATTATCACATTCTTGGCTCGTATAAGTAATCAGGCCAACATCTATAGTTTCTAAAAACTTTTAAGTTTTTAAGGCCTAAATGTTCTCTCGTTGTTCCAATTTTCTAAGAAAAAGGATGAAATTTTTGTTTAGGTGTAATTTCTTTTTTCAGACCAATTTTGATTGAAAGTTTGTTACATTTTGAAAGATATCATAAGGAAGTTTTGAGTTAGACTTCAGTAAAGTTTTGTAATTGCAGTTGTTTTTCGTCATTTTGAGAAAAATGATGCAAGAATTTTTTGTGCTACCAACGCTTAAACTACCGGGTTGACAAAAAATGCTCATCATACTATTTCATAGACCAAAAAAAAAATACTATGAAAATAGCATGACAAGCATTTTTTCCATACTATGATATACTATGATAGGCATTTTTTCCATAGTATGAAATTGTATGATAAGCATTTTTTCCATAAAAGAAAATACCAAAAAATATTTGTTTTGAAATTTTGTGTTTCATCCGAAACACTAACCCTGGACTTTTGTCATTAAAAAACCCAGAGTGTACCTGGCAGTTACCACTCAGTTAAACTGCATTTGGTGATTTTTGCCACCTCTGTCAATTTTTACATTTTCACATGGAGTTTTATACCAAAAATGTAACTTTTTGTATATGGCTAGATAATTTTTGGTTTGAAAACTTTAGTAGTTGAGAAAAACAGGCCTGTTTTTTAGAAATTTAGTTTTATCTTAGCAAATGAAATAAAAAAATAATAATCGTGCTTACAAAAAAGTTTGCATAAGTTTGAGCACAAAAGCAAATCTGCAAGCAAAAAATGGATTAAAAACTTTTTACCTCAAATATGTGTTTTTGCTTATGTAAAAATGCATATCATACAATTTTCATTTATGAAAATTATATGATAAGAATTTTTTTGACCAAAATTAAAATCAGGTTTTTGAGAGTCAAAATGCATTTTTTCAATAAAATTTTTTTAAAATTCATGTGAATTCGTCCAGAAACATCGTCAAATTCCTTTTGAAGATTTTATTTTTTCTATAGCAAAATGCTTATCATGCAATTTTCATAAATGAAAATATTATGATAAAATCATGTTTTTATTGAGCAGAATTTTTCAAAAGATGGAATAGAACAGAAGTATTTCTCTAAAAACGTTTAATACAGTTTTTAAATTTTGTATGAAAATTGTATGATAAGTATTTTTTCCATAGTCGCCATATATGAAATTGTATGATAAACATTTTTCTTTTATGGACGTCAACCCGGGCTATAAATTATTCCGTTTCAAAAAAAGGTATCAAATAGAAATGAGACACGATACTGAACGTTGCATAAATTTGTTCTGCACACAACGGGTAGAGGAATTTCTTAATATCAAAATATCAAAACTTTTTCTTTATTTGTACTCTTTAATCAATATTCATTCAACAAAACACTTTTTGCTTAGATATTAGAGGGTCTATCCGAATATTCTTGGTTTGCTTCCTTATGTGAAAATGATGGATGTCTGAATAAGTTAGTTTGGAAACTGTCGCGCTTATGTTTATTCTGGTTCTACAAAAAACCACAAACGTCTTGATTGCAAATTAAAATCCTAAATTCTCAACTCTGACAACCCAAGGACTGAAAACAACCCCTAGTAATCAAACGCTTTGATGCATCGTCAGACTTATAAGCATCTTAGATTTTTGAATAATCCAATTTGACAGAAACAAAGGAACTGACAGAGTTGAGAGTCATTGAAGTGACAGCAAGGATAAGCAGTTGTGAATCTCAGCACTTTTTTAGACTCATAAGACAGGAATGAACTCGAGCATGCTTTTACAACGCAAATAAGCATGTATTACCTCGACTATTCAGCGTTTCATTGTTCATGACATTGACTGCTATGATAAAAGAAGTTTGTAAGGGGGGGGGGGGGGTTTGTAAGGTTGATTTCAAAAACTAAGTTTGCTCCTTACTCAATTTTTTACAAATCAAACGCTGATTTTCCGCATTGGAGCTCCATGGAAAATCATAAGAATCGTAGAAATTTTTTGAGTGTCTTCACAAGCATTTTAGAAATTCGATTGTCAGGGAGTAATCATCGAGGGTATTTTTAACAGCATTTTCCAGTACGAAAGCTCATTTAGACTTAGCCTCCCTCCACTCCCACACTAACTCTCGCGTTCAATCACTTGTCCACAATTCATATTTTTATACCCCATCACATTATCCCCCATTTTACGACTTATCAACTGGAAGGGGTAGATTAATATG